AGTTCAATTAATATTATTCCTTCACTCACCGGTACTACCTTCCATGTTGATATGTACACTATCAAATATTTTAATAGCGCTTGAATGGCTGGATTGCCCAACTATGACATCCATTTGAATACTGGAGCCCAAATAATATAATGTTATTGAGGAATAATAATCACGCATAAGGTTTATTCAATAGAATGTGATTGGTTAACGAGGTTCGAAAAGCAAGTATATATGAGAAGTCATAAATCGAAAAGTTATGAATGATAAAGTTTACATGTTGAGAATTTCATTTTCACCATATGACAACTTTGTTCAATTTCTGAAGAAAGCAATTTCCCGTGATGGTAAACTTTGCAATGATAATCAATAAAAGTCAAGACATGTTGTGGGCGAGGAGGGATCACATAAAGTTTGATTCATACCTTCAGATATAAGTTTCATTAATGACCCATTGTCCATTGCAATACCAAGAGTAATGAGTAAAGACATCTTAAGAGTCATACTTTCAAAAGAAACGAATTTCTTCACCAAGATGTCGAATATTGTTTATAAGGAGGTTTCCCAAAACTTAACAATGTGATTTTTGGTGTGTGCGATGTTATATTACAATGTCACCTTTTAATATATTATCGTTAATTAAATTACTATCCACAATTAGCGAACATTTGTTTGAAGTAAAATGACGAATTATTTATATATTTTATAAAATATATATCTTACAAAGTACTCAAACATTCACAACATTCGCCCAAGGCATTGCCCGAGCAAAACGCTAGTTATATCTTTTATTTATATGTAAATTACTCAATTTCAACATTCTGATTAATTTATGTGTACAAGATCCAATAATTTGACTTGCACTAAATAGTAAGTAGTAATGGAGTATGACAATAATAGTATTAGCAATAATAATAATAATAATAATAATAAGGGGTTGTTTACTTGTTTTCTTATTAAGTCCTGAATGGATGAAGATGTCTGTCTGCATTAAGTTACACTGAGATAACAAGCTGTTTACTAAGTGTGCTGAATGAGAAGTCTGAATCATGTCTAATTACCAAATAACCCTCTCGTCTGTAACAAGTGCTGAATGTATATTGTCTGTTTACTTTCTTTGTTCTAAAAGATAAAATTTATATGCCAGAAAATACTAATGCTATGAATTACTTAAATAAAAGAGTCATATTGCATGATAAAACAAGCTCATGAGTTTTACGAGAACGACATTTTAAATTTAAACATTTCATACTAGTCTATTAGATGGTTTACATGCCACAAAATATGTTAAAAGTTCATAACTAGCACATAATAGTCATTCCAAAAAAACACACATAATAGTCATAAATATCAAATTTAACAACAATGTCATTTAAGCAAAGTAGGACAAATTGACAAATTACGTACATAAATCCTAATTTCTTCCCAGCCATTTTGACCCAATTTGGAAGGTGATCCGCTTCAATTTTCATCCAAGCTTCTCGATAAAGATCATTTGGATCACAAAGTATTGCAAGTGCAACCCCGTACAATGGGTCATCTCCTTCCCATCCTAGCATCTTGAGCTTAGCCATGCAATTATCAAATGTAGGGGGGTCGGGTTTTTGAGGCGCTTCGGGTTTCCCTTGTTTTGTGGCAACTAGTCGAATAACGCTCAAAATTTCATCATCAACGGATGAGGTTGATTGTTTTCCCCTTTTTTAAGCTTGTTCACCTCCTCACGCCTAGAACATTGACCCGTTGATGTAGACATAGAGTGTGCACCTTGAACCTCTACTTCATCTTCAATCTCAAGGACACCATCAGATGAAATATTTTTAATAGAAGGATGTTCGCATGGCATAGGCTCAATTGAAGTAGGTCACCTTCCCTCGATTCCAACAGAATCTTTGAGTCCATTTCTCAGTCAATCAAATTTTACCACATTTTTTAATATAATTTAATCCTAAAATGCAGGTGTGATTCTGCAATTTTTAGTACACGAATCATGTGTGCTGGTGCATTATAATTTTTAATACGCATGGCTATCCTTATGCACCTTATTCTGGATTTTGTATGAATCCTTTATATTGAGCATTTTCTATCAATAACATTTTCTTTTGGGAGCACAAGATTGGCGTGAAAACTTCAATTACAGGAATTTACAACCTCATTCCTATGTTTTACCAATGTCCAGTCTCTTATTCTTTTCAAGGAAGTTAGCTAGTTCAGAAAGCACAACACTAACATATATTATGAGTCTGGAATATATTTGCTACTGTAAAGAGGACACATTACTCCTGAATACAATAACTAAAAAAGAGGAGCTAACAAGGGCCTGGTCAAATGCCAACATGGAAGGTCAAAATCTAATATAAGTACCCTTACAGGACAAAACATAACTAAAAGCTACAAAGGTAAGAAGCAACGCCCAAGGAGTTTAGAACGTGTTTAGAATAAAAGCTCCAAACTCATTTCAAACTAGTTAATGAAGTCTTAAGAAATGCACCCCATTAGCTCTCTGCATTTGTAATGCATTTCAATCAAGGAGCACACTTCAGTGAAAGAATAAGGGTTCGACATCAAAAGAAACTGACATCTCAAGAATAATTAAAATGCACACTTGCTCTAACCGAGGACCTGATCCCAACTTTGAAGACCTAAAAGGCTAAAAGTCTAAAACCTGCCAAATTTCCAACCCATAAACAACAAGCATAGAAGAAAAAATCAGGCTTAGAACTTTCCTGTTTTTGAAATACTATTAGGGAGTATATAAAGCACCCGTTCATAAATTTGATGCCTTGAGGCTTACAGCAGCCAGCCAGCAGCAGAATCAAAGCATCCGTTCAAACCATTCTGCCGTTCAAGACAAAAAAAATACGAAACCCCTAAATGTGATAATGAGATAGAATCATCTTTTTTCCAAACACCCCTCACTCTTAGAATGCATTTGAACATCTATTTTAAGGGGAAGACTCAAGCAAAAAAAGTAAAAATATATCCCCAGTTTAACAATTAGAAACAATGGCCTATATATTACTATTAGACTTTTGATTTCCTAAAGTATTGCTCCTTTTCCTTTTCCCAAAAATGTGACCCTAACTTAATTGATTATTGACTTCTACGTACAGAATATTTAATACCATTTTATCTCTTTCCATTTATCACATCAATAACATTTAATCTCTTTCCATTCAAAAATCTCAGCCTATTAAACCTATTGCGTTTTCTTCCCTCATATCAACCTCATCGAATCTCAGCCTCCGCCGATAATGCTCTTCTACCGCCCACCCAAGCTTCTACGATAGCCCTGCAACTGCCCATCCCACTGCGTCTGCCGCACACGAGTTACCGCCGCAACGAATCCTTCATCTTCTTCTCCTTTCCTTTTTTCGCAACATCGATGCCCACACGACCCTACAACGATGCTTGGAAATCTTGATCGAATTTGGGGCATATTATTTCCATATCTGGGGCGGTTTGGCAGGTTTGCTTGGTATCGGGCTAGGTGAGGTGAGGTAAGGGGTTGGGGCTAGGGCTGACACAATCACTACTCACGAGTCTGTTGAGTTGGGGTAAGGGAGGGATTGGGGGCTAGGGAGAGGCTGGGGATGGGGGTAGTGCGGGGATGGGGCGGTTCTGGTGGGGCTGGGGAGGGGATAGTGTGGGACTGATGGGCGACGTTAGGGTGGCGGAAGTGTTGGGATGCGTCGGGATGGTGACGGGGGTCACTTTGTAGTGGCAGATCAGAGGACTGAGGCAGTGCATTGTTGGGACATGGCTGGTCACTGACCGAGACAACCGTGATTTAAGCAGGTCACTGAAGGTCGTTGTGTGAGCGGGTCATTGAAGGGTCGTGGTCTAGCAGGTCACTGGATGATGGTTGTTCCTGCACGATATTTTACAAGCCAACAGTCACTATAGGAGGATAGAGTAACTCGGCGAGGGGTGGAGAGTCACTGATCTACGCTTGCGGCGCATTCACTGGGCTAAGCTTGCGGCGGAGTCACTGGACAACGCTAATGACGTTGATGCGGTCTATGGATGGAGAGTAGTCACTGGACCACACAGGTTGATGCAGTCACTGGACTGGGTGCGGCGTAGTCACTGGACTGATGCAACGACAGTTATGGTTGCGGCGGTGTATGTGGCAGTTATGCCTAACGGATGGATGAACAATTTATTATTTTTTAATTATAATTAATGTAATAGTAAAATAATAATAAATGTAATATTTAATAAAAGACATTAAATTTATGATTAGTCACACTTCTGGAAAATTTAAGAACTAGTCATATTTTTGTCTTTCTTATTTGATTTAGTAATATTCATAAAAAAGGCCTAACAATTAACATTAATGAGTGTTAAACCCTATGAAGGATACTATGATGCTATGATATGAAAACACAACCATCTTTGATTCGCATCAATGAATTTACTCCAAAAATTTGAAACTTCATCGTAGGTAGTGAAAAGTATGATAGAGAACAAGGAAGAACTCTTATTAGGAGAAATTGAAAACAAAACAGAGAGAAAATACTAAATAGATAAATTAAAGGAAATACCGATATGGAGAAGGTGAGGGATGAGAGTCGGAGATGTAGATGAAATGTGCAGGTCTCAGCTTTTCACTTGGAAGCCGTAGAAGAGGTTAGCGAAGAAGAGTGCGAAGGGAATGAGGGTTAAAAAAAGAAAGAGACGATCCATATGTCTGAGTCGTTGTCTGTACCGTAAGGAGTATTGAATTTGGGCTGAACTTAAAAATGGTATGAGCGAATAGTCATGTTTTAAAATAAAACTAAGTGAACAAGAGTATATGACTGACCGAATAAGTCATTGTTTCCATTCAGATCATTAAGTCGAAAGTAAACAACCTCTAAATGTATTTAATACAAGTAAATGTCAAGATAGAATAGGGTAGGGAGTAATAAGCTTCCGGGTTAACAAAATGGGTTCAATTTCAAATTTCGCCTTGGACTCAAGCCCAACTCTAATTCTTTCTTGAAGGGAAACACTCAAACAGTCAAACACCTTTAATCGTCACATTTCTTACGCGAGCTTCCCTCTGCGTCTTCTGGCCTTCGGTTCGAACAAATTCACCTTCTTCCATATCCGATCTCAGGTATTTCATTTTCTTCGCTCCATCTTCAGTCTGTTTTCTGGTAGCTGACGAAGTAACCAACATTGCTTCTTTCCGCTTGTATGAGTGCCACGGCTGAGTGTATCTTACTTTCTAGGTAGACCATAGAGAAATGAATTCAGCCGTGCAGAGAACGCCGAAAAGCACGAGACAATCATTGTTTTTCCAGGATTTAGGTACGCCGGTTTCTTCTCGGAAGTCCTCTGGAAGATATACCACACCAGGTCAGGCAGCGGCTGTTTCGGCTCTATGGCGAGAGAATTTCTCAAATACCGATCTCCCACCTCCACCTGTGTTCACGCTTGAAGACCGATCTGATTGCTCTCCGGAATCTGGAATTCCGGAATATCCTATGTCGTCGGAGGGTAAATCAGACCCTAGAACGCCGATTCAGAGTGCGGGTAGGGATTTTTGGACTCCTAGGAGCAAAAAGCCCGATGCAAGTAATGGACATGTTTTAACTGAAAACAGAGAGCAGAATCAGAGTCAAAACAGTGGCATTGCGAGCTCGAGTTGGTGGTCACCTGCTAAGGGTGGGCATAGTGTTGAGCCAGATGATAAGGGAAAGGGTTCCCCTGTGGAAGGCGTGGTTCAGCCTGGTGCTTTGATAACACTACCTCCACCCAGGGAAGTTGCAAGGCCGGAGATGAAGATGAATTCTATACCCTTTGGTAACTTGGATGAGGAAGAGTGGGTTACAGTTTATGGGTATGTCTATCAGTCGTTGTCTGGATGGTCATTCTCTCTTTATTTATTAAGGTTGCAGCTGTAATGCTTTTTATAGACATTTGATATTGTTCGATGATTATTAGAAACACATCTTAATTGCGGTCTGAAAATCACAATAAGGTTGTTATATACTCTGTATTACGTAGTAAATAATTTGGTATGTTGAGGAGGCATAAAACTACTTTATTTTTATTGGATGGTTGGGCAAATGGGCACCGTACGTAACTATGTATCCTCTTTGAGTCAGTATGGATGAGGATTTTGGGGGAGTTGTAGTCTCTCTCAGTGTGTGGATGGGCTTTGTATGTATTGCTCTGTATATTCTAGTACCCATCATTGTATTGTCCAGCCCTCCAAACTCCCCCATCCAAATAGACCCTCAGGTAAAAGTTGTACAGTTTTTTATCTGATGTTTCTCTTCTGCACTTGGTCAAGTTTGTAGTGTGCTGCCATTTGCATCTATGTTCCTACAAAGTAGGAATATAATTGTGGAAAGTCGTCAAGGGACATATGTTGCCTCTTATAATGTGATATAGCTGCACTTTAGCTTCTACGTTTTAGAGCTGTATATTTCTCATAACATCTCACACATGTCTATGCCATAGGTTTTACATTTCCATATCCGTGCATACTATATTCACCGTTGTCGTATGAACCTATGAATCATCATTTTGCAGGTTTTCTCCAGCTGACACCAATTTAGTTCTGCGAGAGTTTGAAAAGTGTGGTCTTATCTTAAGACACATTCCTGGTCCTCGTGGTGCTAATTGGATGCACATTCTATACCAGGTCTTAATCTGTCCCACTTGTCATTGTATATTCATCTTGTTATTTCGATTTAACCCCCACTATATTTGCAAATATTTCGTGAGAGTTTCCTGCTGGTGCTTAACAATGCTTTGAAGCCAAATGCCCAAAATAACTTGAAATTTGCTGTCATTTAGAAGTTACCATCCCCTGTCAGGGATTTCTTTAACAGGATGCATGTTTCTAGCTTGTCTTTGTCATGGTTTAACGATCCATAGCTGCAATTACTTGCATGTTTCTAGCTTATTTGTTTTGTGCCTGCATGTTGATTTCATTGCTATGTTCTGAACATGTATTCCATCGTAAGCCTATATCCAATTTTAGTGAAGTTTAATCTGTTGCATAACCTTATGAATCCCTTTGTCTCAACAAAAAGAGATGTCTGAAACACTATTTTAGTTGAGGAAAAGAAATCTTCCTTGATCAAGCAAAGTATTTTTGTGTGAAATTTCCAAAACAAGTCATCATCATCGTCATTACCCCATTGCTGCAAAGACTCCCACCTATGGTGGGGTAAGGGGGGTCGGATGTACCAGTCTTACCTATGTACTAAAGCACAAATAGACTGTTTTCGGATGACCCATAGTGAAATTCGCGTCGAAAATTTCATGGACTTACTACTGCTTCATAACAAAGAAGCGCATACAGTTTATTGAGCCATTTTGCTTTGTTCCATCATACGTAGTATTTCCAAGCAAAAAATAGCGAGTCTCTGGCTCCATTGCAAATTTTCCAAAACAAGTAACTAGATATAAATGCAATTCACAATTTAGAAGAGGATCAGAAGATTGGTTTTGGTTTGACTGATTTAATTTTGTTTGTAGTCTTACGCTAGAAGCACTTATGTGTACCTAAATCGCGTATGTGTATATAATTTCATCATCACTTTCTAGCTATCTAAAGTGAGAACAATTTACTAAAGCAAATATCACCCTTCATTCTGTCCCCTCCAAAATACCCTAACTAAACCAGGGCTTATGGTAGTTGTTGCTTACCAAAATTTTGAAAAGGCGCCCTTCGGTCAAATATGACTAAATACAAGCGATTAGGTTATATGATATACCTTCCTTATGAGTATCATCCCGTTCAATATTCAATACTAACAGAGCTGTTATAATTTCTTCTCCTGGTGCAGAATCATGCTGATGCTCAGAAAGCTCTTAGTAAAAACGGGATGCAAATAAATGGAGTTCTGATCATCGGAGTGAAACATGTGGATCCAATGCAACGTCATGCATTGAATGACAGGCTCAACAACAATCATCAAGGTTTTGTACCTTTACCACCCGCCCTTGCAACAGGGTCGTCAAGTAAAACATCCACCCCAGATACTAGCCACTACTTCAGAACCTCATCATCATCACAACCACACAATTACATTCAGAATGACAGCAACAGTGGTAAACATCCTGCCGGAGCCGTTGCGACACCAACCAAGTCTGTAGTGTCTAAAGTTATGGATTTGATGTTTGGTGTTTAGCCCCCCTCCAGCACTCTGTGTTTTGCCAGGCCTGAGTCATTTGCATTACTGTATCTCAATGATGGAGTACAAACTCCAATTGTAATCACATTGCTTGCTAACTGCATGTATGATGTATCCCAGTGAGGAATCAAATGTGGTTGAGATTTTTAATGAAAAGGACTTTTTTATTCTTTCAGTGATGGATTTTATTTCCTTCGATAATTATTTTATTGTTATAATCGAAAACCTTATTTTGTTTCTTTAGCGAACTGAAAATCTACCATTAAAGACTAATAAACTATATACATGTGTTTTACTCCCTCCGTCCCATATTTATCTTCATAGTTCGATTTATGATGCTTGACTGACGATAAAGCAACATGATTCTTGTCCACACTCAGATTATTTATAATAAATTAAATTTACATGTTCAGAAACTACATTAAATCCGCTATAAAGTTTGATCAAGAACATTTAAGTTTGATAAAAATTTGAAATATTAAATAAAAGATTAAGAGTAATTTGAGTTGATCATGTAAATAGTAACTATGAAGATAATTTTGGGACTGATGAAGTAATTGTTTTCATCTCTATCAGATTTTTATTATATTGTTACAAAACATCAATAATCAATTGCTTAATTGATCCTTCAGTCATTGTAAATTTCAGATATATTCAATAGAGTTTTTTATTTCAATATTATATACTCCGTATATGATTATAACTATTGGGTCATTAATTTATTATTTAAAATCACAAAATATTGATATTTGAGAGCATAGTTTATCATTCTATTAATGTTAATTTGCGATATATTTATCATTTTTAGTTTTCTATTTAATTAGACTTTATTTTAAACAATTAGATATCAGTTTTAGAGTCCGTTTGGTAACATTGTAATCAGTTGTTTATGTATGTTGAAATTTATGTTCTTTTGAAGTTGCTATAGTAGTTGATTTATTAAAAAACTATATTTAAAACATGTTTATTAATAAATTAAAATAAAATCGTATAAAAGATAACTAAAATGATACTCTTCAGTAGTTTAAACCAATTTAATTTGATGAAAGAATTGATTGATAAGGTTGATAAGCCGAAAAACAGAGTGATCAAACGAGCTCTTAATATTCAAGTCATGTCTGCATTTGTATTTATTGTAAATAAGTCATTTTAGATAATGAATTGATTTTAAGTTTTAGATAACTCTAAAAGAGATAAGTTGAGTTTTACCATTTTTGAAACCAAAATAATCTTCGGAATAATCTAATATTCCGTATACAGATGGTGAAAATATGACTTGTAATGCACATCTATATCTATATCTATATCTATATAATATAATCAAGCAAACCCCTAAAGTGCCCTTTAGAGGAATTGTTGATATGTGCCAACATCCTTTGTTAAAAAAATGGCATTTGGCAACACAATACATTAAAGGAAAGACTATTCAACTTTCAAAACTCTACTGTTATGTATTCCAATATTTTAGAAAATTTGTTTTATATAAAATTAGGTGAAATTTTAGGTAAAATTTTGCACTCGCCGGTATTACAAAATCCAAATACTCAAAAATAAAAATAACTAACAATTTTTATTCACTATTAAAACAAAAATATTACTCTCTATTTCTTTTCTCATAAACGCTTGGAGATTCTCCCTTATTCGAGGTTTTTATAAATTTTTTCTTATTTCTTTCCAAAATATGATAATTATTACATCCACTGTCTCATTAATTTTCTCCGACATTTCCTCTTTCTTTCGTTCACTAAGTTTGTGTATCTCCAAATATTATAATGCATGTGTAGTTCTATATCATTCTTACATTATTGTTCCTACTTTTTCATTTCAACATTAGCTAGATAAACTTATTTTAATAGCTGCACATGTCTCAATCTTAAGTGGACAAATGTGATATTACTTATCTATTTATTAATTCACAAGGTCTATCAAATCAATGTCTAAATGTAGATTAATTTTTTATCTCATATTTATTTATATTTTGCAATTTATGTTCACGTTATTAAATGGGTTAGCACTCCCCAATCTTACCCAACCCGTGGTAGATTATGTTTTTCATAGCTTGGATCGTCTAACTGACTAATGGTCTCAAACGATGAAAATGATCTCAAAGGATGCATAATACACTTATATTTAAAATAATTCAGACTTTGAATGGACATGAAAGGTTGAACTTATTTACAAAAATGCTACTACATTTTTTTATGATAGCGCACATATCTATTCAAATAATGCAAAATTTTCAAATCTAACATCGAGTTCATCCTAATTCTCTTTTACGAGTTAAGGTGTCTTTTCATTTGAACTCAATTATATATATATAATTTACCATCTTCAATACTAACGTTCCGGTTCATATATAGAATAATGCTAGAGTAATTTATTTGAATAATTATTACTTCGTATATATAGAAACAATAGTTCAACTAAATTAATAAGTATATTTAAAATTTATTTTGGTAGTAAAGCAACAATATTAAAGACAATGAACGTCAAAAATAGATGTTTATATTTTGGTTTACTCGCAACTTGAATGAGTCAACTCACTTAACCTGCAACCCGTGCAAATTGCACCACGAAACCGTTGAGTTCATTGCATTGAAGAATGACAACTCTAACCCACCATGAAATGAGATGAAATGGGCTAGCTCTATGGACTTCGATTTGATTCATTTTTTTATGTTTATAATTTTATTTGATCAATTTATATATTTTAGAATTAGAAAATGAAAGTAGTAGTTCATCTCATATTCTTTTATTGATTATTTAAATAAAATGTAAAAGGAAAAAAAGATAGAAAAAGAACTAATAAAATATTATAAATTAAAACTTCTAACATCTTTTCGATCACTAGAAAAAGATTCACTTCTCACACAAAATAAAATTATAGTTGATTAGCATTTATAATAATATTACATAAAATATTTAAAAAAAACTAAAGAAGTCGGTGGTACAAATGTTGTAATATTCACAATTTTATTGCAATTAATCATGTAAAAAATATAAATGCAATTAGCTATTGTTATCGCCAAACATAAAAATACAAATATGTCGTATTAGCTAACTTTGTCATAATGAATGTATGAAATGTGTAAAAGTTAAAATGATATTTGCTAAATATGTATTTTTCATGTCTAAATTATTTATTTATATCTTAAAAATGAAGAGTAAAGATAAATACAAAATATTTATAAATATAAATACACACACACACACACACACACACACACACACACACACACATATATATATATATATATATATATATATATATATATATATAGAGAGAGAGAGAGAGAGAGAGAGAACTTATCCTGTCCGAACATTCGGACAGGAGACACCGTCCGAACACCGCCGTTCGGGGCGGTTCCCGGTGAAATTTTTTGATACAGTTTTTATATTATGTTCTTAAGCAAGTCTAGTATATCCACAAAACGTTTCAGCTCAAAATTCAATCGTGAAGGCCTTCAAATGATTTTTTGAATTTGACTGCGCCAAATTATACATAGAAAAAGGTAGTCACCTTCAAAAAATCATTTGAAGGCCATCCAGATCGAATTTTGAGCTTAAATTTTGTGTGGATAAACTAGACTTGATGAAGAACATAACATAAAAATTTCATCAAAATATTCGACCGGGAACCACCCCGAACGGCGGTGTTCGGACGGAGGCCCTGGTCCGAACGTACGGACCTGATCATTTGTGTGTGTATATGTATATATATACTAGCCTGGTTGCGCGTTTTGCGCGAAGGAAGATGCCCAATGTTTGAAAAATGCAGTAAATTTGAGGTGCATAATAGCGTATTTAAATATTTTACGAAAGGTTGATTACAAAAAAAAGTTCATGATGTCCGTTATAGCAATAAGGGGAAGAGAAAGATTAGATGAAATGTTTGGGTCAGAAAGATGAAGCAAATTGTTATAGTAGTAGGAAGATCAGATTAAAAATTGCATAGGTGGGAGTTTAAGAGGAGCTAGAAATGTCATACCATGCAGCGCTGATGATTTCGTAGGTGTTATTGCGTTTTGGCACGTCCTGTATACCACAAGATGAAATGGCAAGCAGTAGCGCTCTACCATGTCTGTACTTAATGAAGAAGACTGTGGAATGCTTCTGCAGTTCAAAGGTCATCTGGATTTGGCGCAAAATAGGTTCTTCCCAAGTCAAAAAGTAAACGTCTTCTGCGGCATGGTAAATTAGTATTCGGGCCCTTGTGTCGCTGCATGACCTCAGGAAAAGTTCACAAGTAATGGTGCAGGAAAACATGGAAATGCAATGTATTGATCATGGGAAAGAATATGTTGAAATATGGAAATGTTATATCCGTGTACTTTGAGAGTTCATTATTTGCACTTGTTATTTGAATATACATGTATTATGAAAGTGATTGATTCTGGGGAAAAAGTTTTTTTTAAAACAGATCAACGCTTGGCACAATGCGTATAGTGTAACAATCTGATAATGTTGTGGTAAATTAGTGATATGGTGACAAAAGTGTGAAATAAAAGGAAGAGAAAAAGGCCATTAAGTTTTTGAAGGATATAATGGTAATACAGTAGATGAAAACAACACACACCTTTGTAGTTTGCTTGGGCACATATAGAAAGGAGGGAGGGCAATACAGTCGTGGGTATGTGCAGTTTGAGAAAGAGGATTCTACATAGACAAGGAATTCACCTGTAATTGGTATACATAGACATTATGAGTTAACACAGAAAAAAAAGAAAATACATTCACGGGGAATAAAAATTACAGTCAATGCACCTGTATTGTTTGACCGAAGTGAAGAACCAGATGGTGTTCCAGCTGTGTTCAGGGAAAATCATAGCTTGTCAAGTACTGAAACTTTGAAATGTGAAATTGCCAATGTGCCTTAGGAGAACATATGAGACGAATTTGATATTATTTTCTATAAACAAGTCAGGTAAGGTATTAAAGAAAGAGCAGTCGTGTACTGTCACAGTCCATGAGGTTGCTCCATATATGAGGCGAGCGTAAGGGTTGACGTGCTCATATACAAGTGTTTGTGTTTTTTTCCCATAAAAAAAGTTTTGTACTTCTAGTGTTATGTGAGGCAGCATACAATTACGTGTTTAAAGCAATTTAATTGTAGGGGTTTTGATTTTGCATTTTAAGGGTTAAGAGCAAATTGTAACTTCATCAAACAATAATTGTGGTAATAAAAAACGAATGTCTATGCGACCACCTTGCCAAAGAAAGCCTTTTTATAATTTGAACAAAGATTTTAGTGTGCAAACAGAAGTCATAGATGCATCGACCCACAAGATAAGGCATCCTTCTCTCAGAAATCGTGCTTCAGAATGTTGTTTGTCAATTTTGCAAGTCTACTTAAAGGCAATAATTGTGCTTTATGCGTGTTTGGCACGTTGCCACAAATTCAACGTGTTGCGCGAGGGTGGATGTCTGAAAATGGAAAATGGATAGAGGAAAGGTATTAAAAACGTTGTATAGTAAGAGCAAAAGAAATAGCATTTTGCATTGTTCATGACCATAAAGTAGGAGTTTAGCATTTCCAAGTCAGCAAACCAAATGGTTAGGTAATTGGAAGAGATAGTGTAACAACATTGTTTTAATAAGACCTCGGAGAAGCAAAACATAACAGTCAAAGTAGGATTACATCAATTCCATGTGAATATGGGAGAATATTCAAGCGTGACTATCTTGTTGAGTGCACACAAGGCTTCCGATTTCGTATGTGTGGTTGTGGCGAGGTGGTTCCTCAACACCGCATGCTGAAATGGTAAGGAGGCTAACCCTGTCACGCCCATTTCTAAAAAATGCAAGGTTGGAGGTCGGGTCAATGTGGAAAGTAGACTGTATCTCTTTCATGAGATTATCTTCGCCGCCCAGAAAGTGGTCCTTGTCTGTGCCATGTAAGATGAGAACTCATCCTCTTTGATCACAACATGTATTTAGAGAGGCTTCACAAGTTGACTGTAGGCAAAAATAAGGATCTCTTAAAGACGGTTCGGTTGGATATTTTCAAAGGACCGACAAAGAGGTCATCCATAGAAGATAATTCGAAATGATAATCTGGGGAAAATAGATCGTACCGAACCAGTTTTTGTTGGTACATAAATGAATGATGGGGCGCAAAACAATTTCCTGTATGACCAGTTTGCAATTGCAGATTGCACGTATACAAAGAAGTGATCTGTATTGTAATGAAGATAGAAAGAATGATACACGTTTTGTAAAGGTTTGATGTTAAAAGAATTTGGTACGTGCAAAGGTGCCATGAATGTGCAGGAAGTATACCTCCAGGAAGCGTAGAGTTGAAGATGGCATTGGGCGGTGTACCTAGGTTTTGGGAGAAGCCTTCTGTGTCAAATGTTAGTACGTTAAATGTGAAATTCCCGATGAGGCGTAGCAGCAGGTGGCTCTCGAAGGGAATTTCATTCTCAACAAGGAAATCAGCAAAGTCGATTTTAAGAGTGTAGTCTTCAACAGGTAGCGTCCAAGAACCAGATCCATACCTGAGCACAAGCTGTGGTTTGGTGTGCTCGAATAAATGGCGGTGCATGCAAGGAGGGATGTGCTAAAGAAAAAGTAAAAACCAAAACAAGTCAGCGATGCAACGTCAATGTAGCACTTATGCATACATAAAAAAAGTGTATGTGTACTGAATTTACCGCGTCGTCAAAATCCTGGATGTTGAGTACACACCATACGAGGGAGAATTGCAAGACATCGGGGTAATGGATTGTGGCAGTCAGTGAACATTCTACAAAGAATGAACAAGAAGTATGAAAGAATTTGAAGTACTTGTATTTGCGCAATGGCAAAGTAAATAAAAGTTTTGGTGCGCAGATGAAGTAAAAGATGGGATAGGGAAGTCACCTCCAGGCGGGGGTAAGATAAGACCACGTCTCAAAAAGTGGTTAAGCTTGTGATCGAGTTCAGCCTTGTTTCTGAACCGTGTGGGCAGTATTCTGTCGAACCCCGACGCAGTCAAGAACTCCTGCCACTCTATGGTTGCCTGATAGGTGGTAGTGCTGGTGGAGGCTTGATTTAGAACAACAAGAGCAATCTTCCTTCCGTGCACAATGTGCAGAAAGTAGCTCATGGTGGTACCACCTGCATTGGCTGTGGCAGTTTGAATAGTACAAGCGTTGAACAGGTCCATAACGCTGGAAAAGGTAAATAAGTTAGCAACATTTTGTAAACCCATTGTGGGAGGGAATAGGATTGAGGGGTTGTATTCAGTAAACCATTTCAGGGAGGGGATAGGATTGAGGGATTTTCTTATTTTATGTTCTTATTTGGATAAGGTTTTACTTTTTATATCGTATTCCTGAGGTAAGTTGGAATGAACCTAAAAGTTGTTTGTTTTTTTTACAATTTTTTATGTTTTGTTCTTTAGGTAATTAGGTTTTTTGGAAGAATTGATTTCCTATGTGAGGATACGTCCATGGATATGATAGAAGACATCCACTTGTACCTTCTAATTCAAAGAAGGTAACTGCAAATCAAGTATGATTTTACATGGTCAGTTTTGTTAGTATAATCTGTTATTAATTTACATCTTTGTCAATATGAAATTGGTATGTTTGAGTATAAAGTAGTGCATAATATGGTAGTATATTTAAAAAATAGAATAAAGTGGTACAACTGTTCTTTTATATTTTCCTGCATGCTAAACCTGTTTAAATAAATAGACTTTCACAGATGAAGCAGACGGTTCTTCAACATTTTACTAATGTTAACACAAATGAGTTAATAACAAAGTAGGCTTACATTTAAAAGAGGCAAGGTAATATACAAAGTGGTTAATTCTTAAAGAGTACAACAATTGAGCATGCTATATGAACATGACATTGCACTGCCAACACTCATTTCAATTCAAAGATACATCAAGACAAAGTTGCGTAGATGCAGTTAAAGTTTTGTGAAAGATGGAAGCAGCATAGGTTTTGTATTCAAAAATAAAACTTTTGGATGGTCAGGTAAACACCCTTGAACAAGGGTGAGTCCGCCCTTAATAGAAATGTTGGAAGAATGGAAACAAAAAAGGGAAGACAAGAGAGTATGCGGACATGGGAGGGAGTGTGAAGGTTGGGGTGAATAAATTACCTGCGATGAGTGTTGTACCAAGGGGAGTGTGAGACGGCTAGGACGGTCTCAGCGGATGACTGGGAAGTGAAGGAAGAAGGGAAATGGTGGGTTGAAGGAATACGTTGGGATAAGAATGGGCGGCAAGTGTGAGATGATTGGGTGTCCATGCACGGGTGATTTAAATGTTGTAGTGTTTTTATTTATTTTTAAAAAGTTGGTGATACATTGAGCAAGGCTTTATGGGCCCAGGGGTTATAAGAGTGAATGAATTAAGCCCAAAATGAATCAAATTTGTGGAGTGGTGTGGAAAGGGGAATTTGTATTTGGAACTTAATGGATATGGCTGTACTGGGCAATAGTTTATAAGTAAAAAATAGAGTAAAGTATGTCTTTTTTTCTTAAATGGACGGAGGAAGATAAAGTATAATTACAAAACACAAGTAGTTTAAAAAAAAATTAAAAAAAATTTATAGAACCTAATGAAAAATATTGCTTAGGTTGTAGGTGTAACCAATAGATGTAAAAGTCACCTTTTACATCTACAAGTGTAAAAGAATTTTTTACACTTGTAGATGCCAAAAAAAAATGATTTTTCGGTCACATGTTATGCATTACAATCCAAATTCGCTTATGAAACTTACCAGTTTATATAAACATTTATATGAAACTTAATTAAACACTAAAAGTTGACGATATAGAAGCGTGTTTCTGAGAAAGCTTACCTGGAAAAGGTTGAACAGGCAGGTGACCAAATGAATACAGCCTTCAGAAGACAAAAGCGGGTGTCATGCGTTGGTTCTTAATGGCTACGGCAAGCATGCAAAGAGAGAAAGTGTAGGGTTCGGGAAGGTCAGCGAAGTGTTGGCAGTTCGTGTGGGCGACTAAACTCCGTTGGGTGGCACCGTCTATTTGGCCAATAAGAAGCGAACTAAGAAGGCCCTGAGTTGTGTTTTTTTTAATGAATTCGAATGTGGGGGGGTGTTGATAACAAGTAGTTTTGTACTTGAAGTGTTATATTACCCTCCGTTTTTTAATCGATGTAATACATTGATTTTCACGTTTGGGAACACATAATTTTTTCACATAATATTCAATTATGTACCAACAAATGTTATAAAAAATTGATAGTTTGGAAGATTTAAAGAAAGGAGAAAGGATAAGGTTGTATACAATTACATGTATAAAATAATTCAATTGCAGAGATATTCATGTTTTGTTTCAAGTGATACGTAAGGGAGTATAACAGATCTAGACCACTTTGGGACGGGTATTTATGCTCTTGTTAAAATTTTTTTTTAATAAATGGCAGGTCAGGTTGTTCCTTCTGACTGTAATAGTCAAAATTCCATGTTTGTGAACGAGGAAGTTAAAAATTTGGTATTGTTCATTATAGAGTAGTGGAAAATCATTAAATTTTTGAAAAAATACAAATAATGTGATAACTAAATTTGTGGCATTTATAAGTATGGTTAAAAGTTGGTTTCAAGATGTTCATGATATGATATCAACATATGTGCATTTTACGCATTAAACCATGTGAAAGATCTGAATGGATTGAAGAATTTTAAGACATGAATTTTTTTTTGTTATGGGGAAAATAAGGATTTGAAAAGTCAAGATGAGAATCAAGTACAAAAGCAACAACATATTTTAAACTAAAAGCGCAAATAAATCATCCAAAGAGATAGGTACAAGTCAACATGAAGTGGGAGATCAACATTAACTGTCGCTAGTTTATGGATATAACACATTAATAAGGATGAGCTTAAAAGAATATATAGATGGAAATGCGCTAATACATAGTTGGTCAGTCAAGATGTTCAAGGTTCAAAATGTTTTGTTTTTTATGCTCTGTATTTGTGGACAAAGAGAAGCTCACAAACCTTTATTGTATTTGCAAAAGGAGTGTGAATTTATTTCCTTACAGTAAGGACTGGGTTTTCAACACACCATATGATGTACCGGTTGCAACACATATCAACTATGGCTTTTTCATTTGAAGCTTAGGTTCCTGTCAACAATGTGTCCCATATGACCGTCAACATTTCAAAATGCAACCAAGTAACCCATTTTAAAAAATATATATCAAAAAACAGGTTACCTTGACATTCTACCAGGAAGCTGAACTTGAAACAATCTGGACAACAGATGTGCAAATCTAATACAATTTTGGAGAGTATTTATAGTGGTAATTAGCATATGTTTTTGTATGTTTGTGCCAGCTTGATAACATGCACAAATGTGCATGGTTGCTTATACATAATATGGTAGCAGGCAGATCAAAAGGTTTACATACTTGCGAGTTCACATGTACAGAACAAACATGCGTAACCTTAGATGGATTAAAAGACAAAAACCACACGGCAAAAAGCCTGCTATATAGCGTAGGACTAGGAGGGGCCACTGCAAAATAACAAAGACGGTCGATTAGGGACATACAGTTTGAGCAAAATAAATGTACATGATGCGTAGGCATCTAAAGACATTTCCACGAAGTCTCAGGTGGCATCAAAAGCGTTGTTTATGGTTGTTAGATGGCAGGAGCTTTGCGTTTCCTCTGGCGAATACTTGCAAGTGGTTCTCCTTCAGCATCTTCACTGGTCGAAAGGTCTTTACCAGAAGTAGTCGGTGTTAGCCTGTTAGGGGGGGTATGTTATTCAACGATTTAAAAGTGAGTTTCCGTTTGGGGACAACAACAGTGTATGCTTCAGGATCTGACGGGTTACCATCTGCAGCCGCGACAGATTGGGCAGATGGGTTTTCTTCAGAGACAAGAACAATGCTGTAAGGATTTTTGTGCAGCCCATCGTCGGTGCCTTTTGAGCGTTTCACTCCAGCAATGATTATCACGGAGTGGAGTTTTGTATTCAAGATCTCTAAGTCCATGGCGAGGTCGAGGTCCATGCCAACAAATTTGAACAGACGCAAGATATCACTGGTGAAAACAGTCACAACAATGCAGGCACTTGAATCATATAATGACGCATTGTAGATGAACCTGCAAAAATTTGTGTGAGTTGGTACTGAAATAAAAAAACAAGACGTGATAAGTTGAGAGGGGCGTACCGCTTAACAGTAGTCCCCTGTTTTTGACCACAGAACAAACATTCAAAGGATATGCCATCAGCACCGTACACTTTGCGGTTACAATAGTCGCACCCAATATAGAAATTATCTGCCGAAGTGCCAGCCAAGCTGATTTTCCCACACACCCAGACGATAGGAAGCTGTTGGTGAAGCAAATATTAAATAAAAGAAGATGTATTGTTTTTGTTAATGGGCATATGTATTATTAAAGGACCCCTACTTTCATGGTGAATGAGTTAACCGGGCCTTATTCAGTGCACTCTTTACTGGTGAAACCGGTGTACGCAATTGTGAAAGAGGCCGGGCAATGCTGTCAAGAGCATTTTCATACTTTTTCTCGGCCAACAGTGTATCTATCTTTGCTGTGTTAGCAGCAACCCTGTCGAAGGAATATGTGGGCAGTCAGATGGGTGAAATACCGAAGGTTGTGCACAGGGTGAGAGGAAGCAGAGTTATCATTTTTTAGAATCAAGCCACGCTCACTAACTGGGTCAAGTTCCATATGGCTATCGAATCTTGTTGAAAGGGTAAGGTCTGAAAAAACACAAATACGTGTGACGATAACAAGTGTTGTTGAGAGGATTCAGAGCCGGGTAGGCAAGAATTCAACCTTGAAAGAGGTTGATAGCAACCCTGTTAATGAGAATAAGGGGGAAATCTCCTTCATTGAGTCGTTTCTCAATCTCCCCACCGTGCCGGGTCACAAATTCCTCCCACAAAGTGAGTGGTATAGGCGTACAACTGCATAACAAGGAATGCATGCGTTTTTACTTTGCATATACAAATGTGCTAGCCATAAACATACAAAATAAATTAACATGTACTCTTCATCAACAACGACAACGTCCCAGGCAACTTTATGTCCATCGCTCATGACTATGAAGGCACGGGGCAGTTTTGAGATTATCACAGCCAGAATGTCTGAAAATATATGAAACAAAGTAAACACAAAGTAGGATAATAACAGTTTGGTTAACAAAAAAACAAGGACTCCGTACTGATTTTTTCATCATGCAGGTAGGAAGTGAAGAATTCCCAGAATGGTTTAGTGTCTGCCTCTGCAAGCTGGCGGCAATCAATTCCTTCAAAGGGTTCAACGTGGATCATAGTCCTCCTGTTGAAAAACCAGACGTACTTATAGGTGTCATCAACACAGTAGCGTAGATCTGTCAATGGCTTCACATAAGCGTTAGAGATAAGATATGTGGAGTATAATGTTAGCCGCTGATTAATCCCCGCAATGTCGCCCTGGAAGGCAGTTGCTTATACGTGCGTCCCCTATTTAAAGAAGGAAGTAACGGATTAGTTAAGTTTGTTGAAACCACTTGCAATAAAAGAATTGAAAAGCAATAGGCTAACTAACAACCGAGTCCGTGAGACTCATTGACATAAATTTGATTGGAGAAGCTTTGACGGTGTGAACATTCTGCTTTTCAATCAGAGTCAGGCGTCAAGTCCACATTTGGGTGTCTGGCTTAACGTCTGTAATTAAGGTTTCACCTGCCATACTGTCAGAACCTGTAAACGGAAGACAAAACGAAGCACAAACATTTCAAGTCAATGAAAGTATTCGTAAAACAAACAAATGGGAAATGTACAAAGTTTAATACCTTACCTTTAGTTAATGAAAGGCAATATTTCATCATAAACAACATTGGCTGTACTATTCATGATCTTTGGTTTGTGCTCATCTGGACAAATAACAATTTTAATGGATTCTGCGTTTCTAGCGCGTGACATTGCTACATACAATTGACCATGTGCAAAGACCGGTTCTTTCAAATATATGCCAATGAAGTCCAGTGTCTGTCCTTGGGATTTATTAATTGTCATGGCAAAGCATACATGTATTGGGAATTGTGTTCATTTGAATAGTATAGTACAATGTTCATCTCTTGATATTTCCAAAGGAATTTTTGGGATGAATACATGCTTTCCCTTGTGATCACCTGAGGCAATGAAACAGCTCAACACATGTTCTCCAAATGAGTCACATATTAACCTTGTTCCGTTGCAGAGGCCTTCACACGGGTTCAAGTTGCGTAATAACATGACATGGCAGTTGTGTTTCAAACTTAGTTTATGAGGTGGCAAGTCAGCAGGGGACAAGGTGTGAAGGTAGTCTTCACAATGCATGCATTTAGGATCAGTTGTGATGTCATAGCTAAGATATGTGTGTTCTTCTCCTCGAAATTTCACCATTACGGATGAGTTTATGAAGTCAACGATATCATTCTTGGTCGTGAGCAAAGCACGCACCATCAAGGCATACATATCAGTTTGGAACAAATGTAAGTCTGGATATACTGCAGAAAAAAGTAAGTCCAGGAAAGCAGCCTCATTGATCCATGGAACTATAAAGTTAATAGGAAGTTGTATCCTGCCTGGTGCGACGTTAGGCTCAGTTCCATTACCAATGCGCATTAGGTATTCACAAAAGTTTGGGGCTTCATGTGCACGCATGTTTATCAACAAACGTAGACGATGGACATGAGGCCATATTGTAAATGATTTTAGCAAACACGCATCGATAAAGTCCTGCCTGGTGCCAGACCGAATGACTGGTAAAGTTTGTCTAAAATCACCGCCAAAGACCATAACCTTTCCTCCAAAGAGGGAATCAACACCAATGATGTCTCTCAATGTTGTGTCAAGGCTTTCAACAATCATGCGGTTCGCCATGGATGCTTCATCCCACAAGATCAGACGAGCTGCCTTAAGTAGTTTAGCCTCAGCTGATTGCTTTCCAATATTGCAAATATATTTTGACTCTCCATCTAGCGGGAGTTTAAAGCGTGAGTGTGCAGTACGCCCACCCCTCAAAATGGATGCAGCAATTCCAGAACTTGCAGTTGCAAGTGCAATCCATTTGTTTGTTCGGGTGGATGCTAACAAGCAACGGTACAAAAAACTCTTTCTAGTCCCGTCAGGACCATCAACAAAGAAAACAGCCCCATGAGAAGAATGAACATCCTCCATTATAGTGTCAAACGCAATCTGTTGATGAGTATTTAACAAAAAAATACCATTCAGGTATTTTTCGCTTACCAATATATTCCGCTCAGCAGCTATTTCCCGGCTCATGTCTTCATGAAGAGGCATATTTACGTCAGTATCAATCAGTTGGAAGGAGTTTATGTCCTTCCCCATTGAAGTAATCAAGTCACCTAACAACGAGAGGGTAGCTGTTTCTGTCGCTGCACAGACCTGGAACCTGAGCAAGTCCTCACACAAATAGATTTTGTAGTCATTCCATAGTGCACGTGGGTTTGGAACCATTGAAAAGCAAAGGTGTGTAGCAAAGAGTTTACGCAAACTGGAGGGTAATTGGAATAATATTGCCTCATCTAGTGATGCACGTATGACAAAATCACCTGTCAACAGCCCACGTTTTTCAGCTGCAAATCTGAATGTCTCACAAACGTTACCATTAATGCTTTTAAGATCTATGAAAGATTTTGGCGCACGTACATTTGCAAGCAAGAGTCGTAAGTAGTAGCGCTCCCCTTCTGAAGGATTGACAGAAACAAGCCTCCCAAGGACTTCCTTTCTTTTCCGCTGAGTCCATTCTTTTTTTGGACCAGTCCATACGAAATAGTGAGGGAATTCAACATACAAGAGGTTCAATGACCTTGCAATTTGGTTGGCTGCGTTCATTAAAAAAACTGAGTAAGCATAGTTTTAGTAGAATCTGTAACCTCGGTGACATAAGTGATTCGTTGGTTCTCGTAAAAGGTAAGGTATTGTGAATTTTCCAAGTGAACTTGCAACTGTAAAACAACAGGCCTCATCTTTGAAATGGGGAAGCCGAAAATACGCCACGCTGCTTCAGGTGGGGAAACCCATCAGGCTTTTTGAAAATTTGATATCTCATCAATGACCTCACTATCGCCCATCCCCGAAAGCGCCATATTGACCCTATCATGACCTTTATACACATATTTATATATGTATTTGACTGACTTCACACTTGCACAGCCTCTACATTGATGTGGCAATCGTATTTACGCAACAACTGAGCATTATAAGGCACAACCCACCTGTTATCGAGTGAATACTTCCTTACTTTCACAGTTAGGGGAGTAATCTGTCTCCTGTATGTAGGAAAACAATTTTCATCAAACACCGTCAACGGAGCAATTTCCCGCGGATATTTGCTTCTGCATGTGGGAGTTTTTGACCCATGAGTAAGGACCATGTAGGGGCATTTCAGATTCATAATGCCATAGGGTCCATGAATCATATGTTTTTTAACAAGTCGATATAGTTCAGGGTCTATTGCAGGGTCAGGTATTTCGGCAGTAATAAACTGATCACAGCGGCCAACTGTAGTAATTTTACTGGGTTGTGACAAGATTAGAAGGAAATGAGCATGGGGAAGACTCCTTTTTTTGGAATTCTATGACATACGTGTAGGCAACAACCTTTCCAAATAAAGATCCTTTTATTATGTCTTTCTTAAAGTCCTCTAGACGTGCACGGAAAATACGGGCCACAACTTCCGAGCGATTTCGAACTTCATAAGGGAAAACCACTCGTTCTTTGATTTCAGGCCAATTCGGGTTGCATGTGATGGTTATGAACATGTCAGGTTTACCAAAATTTTGGACAAGTGCCATCACATCCATATAACGACCTCGCATATCCCGTTGGCCACCTATAAATGAGCCAGATAGAACAACACGTCGACCAGTATCGCTAGTATTCTGGACACTTGCATCAATGCTGTCAACCAAACCCTGATATGTGTCTGAACGAAATTCACATTGTTTGCTGCGGTAATAGTCCAAACGTTGCGTTTCAATATTTATGTATAAGTCCACTATGTACTGCTGGAACAAGCGCCCAACATGCAAGATAAAAGACGTGTTTTCATGGCGCATCTGGAGTTTGTATGCATAATATTGTCTGCATGAAACAGAATGCCTCTTCCTACCCTCATTCAACACATTCTCCTCACACGCAATTAAAGACGTGTCCGTTTCAAAACGGTTGCAGTTTACAGAAATGGAGGGAACAGATTGCAAACCATTTGTATTCCTTCCTCCAACAGCCTTTGGAATCCCTTCATGCCACCCCACCTCACCAAGAGGAAACAAGAGAGAGTATTGCAGTGGATCGTAACATCCATAGTAATAATGAATGTTTTGTGCTTTTCCACTATGGGCGTAGACACGAATATTCCTGTTAGAAGCCAGACCCTCGTGATCATCCTCAACCCACACAACAACAACTTGAGACGATGTTGGCCGATTGTAAACCCGCTGATCAAGGGCAGGATTCCTGTCGAGCACTAAAAAAAACTCATCAGTCTTGTTGATATCAGTTAGGGAATGGAAAAATTGTGCGTATGGGTTTGCCGCCAATACATCCATTAAGAGTTTCACAATTTCCGCATCTAAACGATCAGTGCTCTCTATCCTATTATCTAATGCACATTCCGTATCGTAGAAGTAAAGTTGCAAATTTCGCGGTGGGCACCCATCAGGCAGTAAGTCATTAATGAAATGGTATATTTGTCCCTGCACTCTGAATGTATATATCCCCTGGTTGCGACGACAAAGCTGTTTGTCATAGTTGTAAATTCCTATCGACGTGTACGCAAAAGTGTTGTTGTATGTCCGCTCACACACGCGAAAGTGTTTAGCTAAAAGGTCTTGAGATGTGAATACTTGACGCAGATGAAAAGGCATTTCAGTTGATGTCAGAACAACCTCACCTCGACTGCAACACATGGTGGGAGTGTTAGGAATATTTTATGGTGTCCAATCTAATTAAATATCTTTGTATTTGTGTAGTTATTAATTAAACGTGTAATACGGGCCACAAATGTGTATCAGCCCGGGGGCTTCCTTGTAACCCGTAAGTTAGCTAACTTCTCCTATAAAAGGAAGCTAACTTACGGGAACCCTAACAATAAAAGAGAGGCCGAGAGCGCCAGAGGCGAGATAGAGAGAAGGGTTTCCGCTGCTCTCCTTCTCCAGGGAGAGCAGCGGGGTTTCATACGGTATACCAGATTCGTGTATAATATCGACATATCTTTCTATCTGCTTCTTCTTACCTGTTATGATTGTTGTATGTTATGATCTGGGTTTATCAATTGGTATCAGAGCCGATGCGTGAAACAGGTTGGATCTATCTGCGATTTTTTGGATCTAACGAAGAACTGCTCTGTTTTTCTTCTGTTTTTCTTTGGTGTAGAGATTTGCTCCTGTAATCTTGTTTGTGAACGAAATTTTGTAAAAATCATACTGTTGGACTCGCCTTTCAAAACCGATCTAGCATCACACCTTTTTTTTCGTTTTCTGCAATTTTTATATTTCGAAGATCTCTACATTGAGATCTCGAAATCCTTATTTTTCACTGCTGCAGAAACGTTTTTGGCTTAAAACTGATACAGGAGAATCTCGACCTTCAGGGCTTTTCAGAACAGGTTTCAGATTTTCAAAAATCGATGTTTTCATTTTGCAGGATCTCGACATTTAGGGACTCGATATCCTCTTCTCGACTTTTGAAATCTCGAGATTTGACATCTCGACTTTTGTCATCTCGAGTTTTGTCATCTCGAGTTTTGACATCTCGAGTTTTGACATCTCGACTTTTGACATCTCGAGTTTTGTCATCTCGAGTTTTGAAATCTCGAGTTTTGACATCTCGAGTTTGACATCTCGAGTTTTGGAATTTCGAGTTTTGGGTTTTCGACATTTGGGATCTCGATGTTTAGGATCTCGACATTCTTAAGATTTCGAGATTTTCAAAATTTCTCGATGTTTTGAATTTTTCAAAGTTTGGAGTTTCTTGAATCACCGATTTCTTCTAAACTTGATATCTTTCCTGTTCAGAACACTTCGAAGCTTTACATTTTTAGATATCTGAATGAATCTCTGCCTATCAAAGTTTTTAGAAGTTTTCGATGTTCTGATGTTTTTCAAACAACAAGTTTTCGATTTTCTAATGTTTTCGAAACTCCAAAGTTTTCAATGTTCCAAACATTTTGAAATTCTGCAGATTTCGATTTTCTGATGTTTGTTTTGCAGGTGGATTTCGCCATTATTCTTCGAGGCAAACTCGAGATTAAGATCTCGAGATTTAAACCTCGAGATTGTGATCTCGAGATTTAAACCTCGAGATTGTGATCTCGAGATTTAAACCTCGAGATTGTGATCTCGAGATTTAAACCTCGAGATTGTGATCTCGAGATTTAAACTCGAGATTGTGATCTCGAGATTTAAAACTCGAGTTTGTGATCTCGAGATTTGAAACTCGAGATTGTAATCTCGAGATTTGAACCTCGAGATTGTAATATCGAGATTTAAACCTCGAGATTCGGATTTCGAGGTATTGCCTTAGAATTTTGTTTAAAATCCACATGCTCTCGATATTCATCATCGAGAACCTCAACTTCGAAGAAATTCCTCAAAAACTCAAAATTAGAGATTTTTTGCGACACCGCACTATTTTGGCCATAACTTTTGACTCGGTGATCCGATTTGAGCAATTTTTTTTGTTGGAAAGCTAACGAAAAGATCTACATTAATTCTAGGGCTATGTCCCAGAACCCTTTCTCACACGCCCTCACTCGCATCCCTTGAGGGTCAAAACGTTAGTTTTCCGACAAACATTGTATATCACCGATATCCAGGTCAAAACTTAGGCAAATCTGTTCAAATTCTTTCATTGTCAACCCTGAGGTCAAAGCTTTTCTATGCTCCACTTTAATCGTAGATAATTCAATCAACCTCGCGTCAACGGTCATCTTACAACAATCAACAATCAACCACTGAAGCCTCCTCTGACTCATCAACATTATGTGATCATCAATATGCTGAAATTCTACATGATGAGCTCAGGGAAACCGTCATGTGTGGTACATGTTCAGATTGCTCCACACACATGGCGGGTATGACAAGCTGTGAGCAATCAAACCTTGCACATTCTGAGGGGGAGTTTCAGTTTTCTCCTCCTGGCGCCTTACACCGACAAAGCAAGGAATCTCTCAAAGGATGCAACATTTTAGGGGGAGTATTCAATGTTATCCTTCCCGGTGCCTAACAATGACAAAGCATACCGAGTGCTCCAGTTGAGGGGGAGTACAGAGAGAAAATGAAGAAAGTAATGAGAGAACATGTCCCCATGACTTAGTAAACCCAACTAAGCCTACTCAAGGGACAAAGCCGAGCGTAAGTGAGTGAGTGAGCAAGTGAGTGAGTGAACATTATGAGCGTTAGGAAGCAGAAGGCTCAAGTGAGAAGAAAAACAATAATCAATGATGAGTCTGCTACCTCAACTGCCTATTACCCATTGAACATTTACTCCTAGCCACTAAAATACTCTGGACAATTCCCAAATAGGTTCAGGACTGATTTAATCAGATCCCGGGTAGAAGTCACTGCATCTTGTCCAACAGTGCACGTTGAACCTTACCCAAGACCACTCACTTGTCTCCCAACAGACAGGTGTTTAATCATACTTCACGGGGAACCGCATCTCTCATTACTGTCTCCTTCCGAGGCAAGTAATACTGACTACAGTGGCCTCAACCCCATGCCACTGAACTTTCATTGATCACGTCGTGTCTAGTTACTCACTCCCAAATGTTTTGAAATTTTCTAGGACACAGACGCACTTTTAGAGTCAGTTGCAGGTCTACATGACCCGCGAGAACTTCCATAGGGCTCATCTATTACAGATGTAGACCAATAATTGGAAGGAAGTCTTGCTGTTGCAACATAAGAATCACCAACATTTTCAGGCCATTGCTAAAGAGTTTATCTCTATAGTGATGAAAACGGGTGTCTACACGACCCCCGGGGGCTTTTATCATTTACTCTTTCTGTTTGTTTCCTGTTTTATTTCCGCAGAATAAAAGAATAAAAGCATGACGTCCCGATTCATCGGATCGTCATGAGGGGAGAGTGGTCCACATGCTGTTAACACTGAACAAATCATTCTGGGACACTTCACTCCTCCATCACACAAATCAATACCTTCTCTGCTATCTCTACAACTCAAATGAAATGGTCAGCTACACTCACAAATCAACAATCATTATGTTCCGCTGTGCCACCGACAAGTTCTCCTCAAATGCATTCATTCCAAATAGTCAAAAAGACTACATTGTGGAGGAGACAGAGGTCAAATACTCGTGTCCTGAAGATGAAGTCCATGTGCGTCTCCTATTCTCCAAAGAATATTCATTCTAGAGGCGTCACCGGACTTCATCCAAGCTGATCAAGAGCAACTTCTGGAAGACAAGGACTACATGCAAGATACTGAAGGTCCCTCAACCCCGGCATCAAAGATCAAATTGTCAAGAAGACATCAAAGGGGAGATTGCAAGGATTTCTTCAGATAGGCTTCCTCAGAAGTCAAGTTCAAAGACAAAGGAAGCTGAATAACAACAAAGACAAAGATATCTGCGCTGCAATGCTGATTCAACACGATTGAACACAAAGGGGGAGATTGTTAGGAATATTTTATGGTGTCCAATCCAATTAAATATCTTTGTAATTGTGTAGTTATTAATTAAACGTGTAATACAGGCCACAAATGTGTATCAGCCCGGGGCTTCCTTGTAACCCGTAAGTTAGCTAACTTCTCCTATAAAAGGAAGCTAACTTACGGGAACCCTAACAATAAAAGAGAGGCTGAGAGCGCCAGAGGCGAGATAGAGAGAAGGGTTTCCGCTGCTCTCCTTCTCCAGGGAGAGCAGCGGGGTTTCATACGGTATACCAGATTCGTGTATAATATCGACATATCTTTCTATCTGCTTCTTCTTACCTGTTATGATTGTTGTATGTTATGATCTGGGTTTATCAGGGAGGTTCGTACTGCACGCGTTCAGCACCACAGTGCAAGCAGTCAGGTACTGTCTTCAATTTGTAGGAATCACAATTGGTAAAAGATGCAGAAGTGCCTTCCCCAGAACATTCAATGTGGTTACGACTATCTGGTACCGACACACAACATGACAAGAAACCGTAAACGTACAGATAAAACACGATAGGCCATAGAATAGGATGAGCACAAGGGAAGAATGTGTAAATTATATAAGAGGACCAGAGAAGGTTATGAAAGTTGGAAATCAAGATCGAGTTTATTTTGTTGGGAACCAGATAAAGAAAGAAATATCAGAGACTATCGCAAAACAAAAAATGGATAAAAACACAACAACAAAAGTTATAGCGGTCAAAGCACAGACCTGGTAAACCAGAATTATGATGGATATCACGAGTTGGAAGTGATGAATTTATATCATGAGTTTCCAGATTTGAACCCTCTCTCGTTAAGCGACGGCGCTTGTTGCGACGTGCTCGCTGCTCTTCCGGAGGAACAATACTACCAAAGCCCCCACATTTGGGAATTTTCAAAGACGTGACTAATCCACAAACGAAACAAATAAAAAACTGAAAGAAGAAATACTGTATGCAAAACTGGGAACACCCATAAGCATAAGGAAAATTTCCATGTTGTATAGCACGAACACAGTATCAAGAGAACCAAATAAAAACATCACATATGGCGCAACATGAATACACGCACAATTTAAAGTCAAAATTAAACCCATATCACATGGGAAAAAATAACACAATACAAGCCAACCAAACTAAGGAAAACATGCTGAAGCACATATAAAGTTGTAACTTTAAAGCAAGAGTTCAAAACACTTACAAGCGACACAAACAAGGACACTGCAGATGTAGGAAAAACTTGGAAAGCACCTGAGAGGGAAAAAATTTGTAATCAGAGCAAAAAATGCACAACACCACGGCCAACGAAATAAACACTATAATCAACACAATGATGATACGAACTGACTGTTTCAAAGGAAAAAATCAGCATACAACACAAAGAAAAATGACAAAACATTGAACCCCAACACAACAATATCTTTACACAAAACAGGGACAGTATAAACCCAACCTCAACCAATGGAATATATTACTCCACAGCCTATCTAAAAATATTAAAACTCAAACAAATAAATACAAATACACCGCTGCTATGTAAACTGAATCATTGACTTTATTTTTCTTCCTTTCTCTCTACCTTGGACAAACACCGGTTCACATCACACTATATAATGGAAATTGCCATAATATTCAATCACAAATACATTCAAACTCAACTAATGGAATGTAATAGGCCACAAGCTATATAACACAAAGACCAATTCAACTAAAAGAACACGCAGACGCATTGAACACTTACACATAAAAATCCAATAGCAAAGCAGTTACAATGTAAAAATGCCATATTATGGTGTGCACAAATTCCCTTATTCATTTAGGCTCTGTATGTAAATACCAAGCTGAAATAAAAAATGTATTTGTGGCGCTACAAATAAAAGCATTCGCCTGGGTGAAGACTCATGTCTTTTAAAGTTTTCTAGTACAATCTGTCACGAATCACATTGTGGTATGTTATGATGAGTAATCCCGTTATTCTCGTAGCCATCTCCCTGCTATAACATCAGGCAGCGCCCAAAAAGGGGAAAAACCACAAGAAACGGGCAGAATGAAACTTTTAAAATCCATTTAGCAATTCCACTTATGAATGGCTAGAAATCAATATTCACAACCACTTCACGCGTGGTATGAGGTTGACCTCCATATTCACAACTACTTTAAAATCCATTTAGCAATTTTCTAATCAATTCTTAGGGAAGGGCAGCCTCATACCACAGGGCCGGTCAATAGGTAAAAGTACACAACCAAATTACACACACAACAAGCGAAAAACAAACTGAGCAAAAAAATAAAGAATACAAGCGTAGAGATGCCTCACAATTGCGATAAGACTCAGGCGCACAGACTTTAACAAGCAAACAGGCACACACAACGAAGTTTTAAGTAAGCAACGCTAACCGACAGAGGAATAAGATATTATCGCTGGGAGAACCTCAACCGCACACGTGAAGCAGCTGCACGACAATTCTCGAAAGCATCTGATGGCTTTACAGAGGGATGCATCGCATAAACTGAAAGGAGAATGTTAGCGTTAGTTAGTTTCGTTATTCGCGTAGCTACAGTGTCTCCCCGTTTAAACGGAAACAGGCCGACTAACGTTCTTAAGTCTTTTAAATATATATTATTCGGTGTTCAGTTCGATTTACGATTTTTCGATTTTAAATCAAACCAAACCAAATTATTCGATTTGAGCAAATTGTTACCAAACAATTTACCTAAATAAAGTAATAAACACAAACAAAACCAAAACATTTTGACCACCCCTAGAAAATACTCCTTATGACCCAAAAAGTGGCCATATTTCTCGTCCGGCTTCCCTCCATAGCTCGCCGATTCCGTTTCTTCCACTACCAGCTCATGAACTGAGCTGAGATGAGGATTTTAATAATTTAATCTGCGCAGAGAGGATGGAATGAAGAAGACATTTTTAAGCTTCTACATTTTCGTCGGTTTTCAAATTTTCACACAATCACGATGACCGGTAGAAGCACTCTTACTTCTTCATTCATTCCTTCTCTCCCTTCCCTCAGCAAGCGAAATCATAGCAACTTCGCAATTCGATTAAGAATCTCTTGCAATTTCAGAAATTCAGAAGCCGACGAGGAATTCAACTTCCGTCAAAGTCCATTGCATTTACTTAACCTATCTTTAACATTAACTGTAATCTCAGCTTCGCTAGCTCAGCCCTCATTAGCTTCCGGTAATAAACTCTCCGAAAGGAAACGTTCCAGTAAAAGGTCGGACGCTTTAACGCCTCTGGAGCTGGAGAAATGGTCCCAAGGTCTCCCCACCGTGAGCAATAGGCTTCCCTATACTGAAATTTTGGATTTGAGGAGAGAAGGCAAGCTTAAGCACATTATCAAGCCTCCCAGTGTGGGGCTGAAACAGAGACCTGAGGTTGTTTTGGCTGTGTTGGATGATTCTAGGGTTGTTAGGATCGTGCTGCCTTCATCAGTGACCGATCCCAAGTTTTGGTCTCAATGGGACGAGTTGAAGATAGATGGCTTATGCATGAATGCGTATTCCCCTCCATTGAAGATCCAGAACACTGTCAACCCTTATTTAGAGTTCTTTGGGAAGATTCCAGCTTGGTTTTTTTCGCTTTCTAAACGCCCCAAACCACAATCAAAGAAGGTGTTAGAGTTGAAGAGGGCAAGGGAAGAGATTGTGAGGAGCAGAAAGGAGGAAATAGATAATATGAAGCGAGAGAGGGAGATGATGGAAAAGGCAATTAAAGTTCAAAGGAAGATGGAAGAGAAGAGGATGAAGAGGGAGATTCAGCAAGCCAAGCATCAGGAGTCCTTGCAAAGGGCAGCAGAAAATTCTAGAAGGATGTCAACATTGTGGGGTGACTTAGCTTCTGATTCAACTGTCACCACATCTCTTGGCTTCCTCTTCTTTTACATATTTTACAGAACGGTTGTGTTAAGTTATAGAAAACAGAAGAAGGATTATGAGGACAGATTAAAGATACAGCAAGCAGAAGCTGAGGAAAAAAAGAAGATTAGGGATCTGGAAAGAGAAATGGAAGGGATTGAGGGTGGTGATGAAGAGGAGGAGGAAGGACAAAAAAGTGAGGAAAATCAATACATGAAGATGGCAATGCAGTTCATGAAGTCAGGTGCCCGTGTCCGAAGGATTCGTAGTAAGAGAGTTCCTCAATATTTAGAACCTGACGTAGATGTGAAGTTCTCTGACGTAGCTGGGCTTGGAAAAATTAGGCTTGAGCTGGAGGAGATTGTCAAGTTTTTCACCCATGGGGACATGTATCGCAGACGAGGAATCAAAATACCTGGTTAGAGTCATTTCAAACTACTCTCAATTTTTTGTATAATCTTGTAGTTACTCAAACATTCTGGGCACCCATGTTTGAAATTAGTACTTATTCATAATTGCATGCTGGCACCTTACTAATTGCTTCCTATTCACTTGTCTATTTTCCCATGGTAGTTTCTCAGTTTAGTGTAAGTGATACCAATGATTTACTATTTCTTATGCTAAATCTAACTGAACTTGTAAACTTAAACTTGGTTTCACCCTCTGGGGTTTAATAATGTCTATCGTTCCCAGGTACTAGCCCAAGCACCAAAGTATTATATCAGGGACACTACTTTTTTAAAGTTGAAATTGTTTGAATTTAGTTTGGTTTCTATTTTGTACAATGTGTTTTCCTACTGCACTCCTCTTCTGTTATACTGTCTGCTTCCTCTATGTCTTTGTTGTTATTATATATTTGTATTTGCATTGGTTTTATTCTATATAGCTGTTACTCCTCAGGTAGCTTTGTTTGGTAACTAAAATGTATACTGAGTGTATGATATTGGCTTCAAGAGCACTTGGGACGTGCATTGAAGTAATTGAACTTGAAAGGCTTTAACTAAAGTAAAAAATAATACTCCCTCGGTTTCCTTTTTATCTTGCTAGTTTCTTTTTTGAGTTGTCCCCAAATTACCTTCCTTTTCCCTTTGATGTAAGCAAGATATGGTCCATACCCTTGTAGTCCTTTCTATCTCTATCATACATTTTTTATTTCTTAAACTCTGTGCCAAGTCAAAGTGAAAATATCATATAGGGATGGGGGGGGAGTGATAATCATACATCTATCTTTTCGATACTTTATGTTTAGCCACTTAATGACCCTAATCTGGAACGAAATCTATCAGTTACTAAAATATGATGGGACTAGTTTTTTGATGAGTTTTTAATCAGCTTTTAATTGTTTCCGCCTCAAATCTTGCCACGGTATTGTAGTGTTAACACTTGGCATTCATTTCCTAAATTCTAATACATAGTTAGTTACCCTATAATGCTTTAGGAGGAATACTCCTTTGTGGTCCACCTGGGGTGGGGAAGACATTGCTAGCTAAAGCAGTCGCTGGGGAGGCAGGAGTGAACTTTTTCTCTATTTCTGCGTCTCAGTTTGTTGAGATATATGTTGGAGTTGGCGCCTCTCGTGTTCGAGCCCTCTACCAAGAGGCAAGGGAAAACGTATGCATTTCTGTCTCATTTTACTATGTCATTTCTATATTCAGACGCATTTTTCTCATACTTTATACTTCTGTTACTAAATAGCATTACCATGTTATTTACTTATTTGCATCCATCTTAGTTGTTGGCAATTTGTTCATGCCATCCCTTTTTTCTCATTCAGGGTGTTCCCTTATCACCTTTTGTTTTATGGGAGGGAAGGGTGTTAGAGTCACCAGAATTTACAGTAAAATCACAGAAGGAATCAAAGGAACTTCAAAAGCTTTATTAGAAGATGAACAAACAACAATGGCCGAAGCCCCCAAAAGAGAGAGACAGTCTGTCTCAATCTTCCCAGTCCCAAGACTAACAAGTCTAAACAGCCTCTCTACTAACTTCCCTTTCCAAGCTATTTATACTCTCTTTACATTTATTGTTGTTATTATTTCTATTCTTAGTCTAATGGGCCTGATTCCTATCACTACTCCCTCCTAAACATCCACCTTGTCCTCAAGGTGGGGAGATGGGAACCAAGCTTGGAATTCAGCTTCCTCCGGGTTCCTCTCCCTTCCCAGTACCTCGCTGATGGCGGTATCAGCAGTTCCCATACTTATAGTCCTCTAGATGAAAAATCCTTGATCAGCCTTAGCAAAGCATTTGCCTCTGATTTCATCCTATCTCTTGAGTGAGACTTCGCACTGAATAGCTCATACAGAACTTCATCCACACTCAGGTCAGAAGAAAGTTTAAGAGAACTTGAGTCATGCGGTATTTCTCTTTCTGAATTTAAGACTTCAACAATCTCCAATTGTATTCCCACATCATGACCCGAAGTAACATTTGTTCCATTATACTGCACACCCTGCTGTCAATTTTAAGATTAGGCCTTTTTTCTTTGTATAATGCACCCATCAGCTGAAAATCAGAAAGTTCCAATGCAAAATCAGAAGAAATAACAATTACCAAAGGATCATAAGTCCAACGAAAACCAGGGTCATTCTGTCCCAGGTAATTTCATGGCATTCCAGAAAATCTTGCCATAGAATGGAACGGATCACCATAGAGATTCTTTGAAAATTTTGATGTATCAACAACTTCGCCTAGAGCTTGCTGGTAAGTCTTAAGGGTCATTCTCTGTATTAACCTTGTGACGAATTCAAAAACATCAGGAAAGAATAGAGCTGTCTTTGCAGAGATGTCTTCCAACATGAGATAATTTCCAGGTGCTTTAAATGAATCATGTAAGTCAAGCTGGGAGTAGCCTAACATGCTCTCAACCCCTGGCTGCAATATTGTACCAAACCCTGAAGACTTAGCCCACCTTACTTGTACCCATTTGGATACCTCAGCAGGTAAAGAACCTGCTAAGTCTTTGATATTTAGAGTTGCAAGTTGCAGTGAATTTCTGCCAAGGTGTTGGAAATGGCTAGGCTTGTCATCATCCTGAATCTGTGAGAGGTTTCCCCATAATAATAGCAGATTCTCCTGAAACAATCTCAACCTCCTCCTCCTGAGCCTCTGTACTAGTTTCAGAAGTCATTAGGACTCTATTTCCAAAGGAACATGGTTGGATAAGCGGATCAATAATAGAAACTTGGCTGGGAATTAAATCCACATCGACTACAAGACTAGTAGAAACATAATCTGGCCATTGAATAACCTGTTTTTTCTCCTTGATTTCGTCCTTGATTTCGTCTCTATTATTCATTTGTTTGATTACAGGTTCAGTTGGTTCCATCTGGTTCTTCTTTATTGACTGGGAAAATTCTTGCGCAAGTTGTGAAACTTGTGTGCTAAGAGGAGTTCTTGGCGACCTTGATGATACCTGTTTTTCTGTCCTCCCTGTCTTCTGCCGGTGTTTAGGTGGAAAATCCCTAATCAAGTCTTCCTTTAGAGCCTTCCAACTATCTTCTCTCTTTTGATATTCCCACCACCATTGAAACCAGCCACACGCGGCTTCCCCCATAGCCTTTTCTGCAACGTTCACTTTGAATTTTTCTGCAATAGCTTGGATTCGAAAGTATCTTTCCATCCTATCTATCCAATCGTATACTTCATCCTCGTTGAATAGCGGTAATTCTTCCGTCTTAGAACTAGCTGAATTCCGAGAGGTGACTTTAGACGAAGAAAATGAACAGTTAAGATCCTCAGGCGAAGAAGAAGATCCTCCTCTCAATCGCGCCTTTCTTGGATGCGAACAGATGGCCGGTGAGGAAGTCTGCGAATTCTCAGAAGGATTTTGCGATTGCGAACTTAAAGAAGAAGTTCGCGATTTCGTCTGGGACTCCGTCTGCGATACCGGATGATGCCTACTCCTCGATCGATCTCCCTGTCCCTTGCGAAGCTTCTGCTCTTGGTGCGAAACAAAATACTTGGAATTTTCTTCTGATCCATCTGCTCTAGCGGAACTTCTCGTGTTTCCATGATGCGAAGAACGATGCGACGTATGTGAAGGGTGCAATTTGTTTCGCGAACGACTTTGGTCTTGCTCCGCCAATTTCGCGATCGTGGCCTGCATCATCTTAAGCATCGCCTTCATCTGTTGTTGATTTCTCTCCAATGTTTCCCTCAATCTCTTTTGGTTTTCCTCCAGTTCGTTCATCCATAAATCCATCTTCGTACGCATCAATACCATCCACAGAATCTACGTGCTCTGATACCACTGTTAGAGTCACCAGAATTTACAGTAAAATCACAGAAGGAATCAAAGGAACTTCACAAGCTTTATTAGAAGATGAACAAACAACAATGGCCGAAGCCCCCAAAAGAGAGAGACGGTCTGTCTCAATCTTCCCAGTCCCAATACTAACAAGTCTAAACAGCCTCTCTACTAACTCCCCTTTCCAAGCTATTTATACTCTCTTTACATTTATTTTTGTTATTATTTCTATTCTTAGTCTAATGGGCCTGATTCCTATCAAAGGGTGCCTTGGTGGTGACATTTTTCTGCCCTAATTGCATTGGTTTCTTAGAGATATTGTTGCAAAACTTGGTTACATTGAATTTCAATATGACACATGTTGATTGTTACATGGGTTGTCTACTGGGTTGAGTCTGGTCTAGTATAAACATGTGGAGTAAGCCTCACCTTTCGAGGATTGTTTTATAGTGAGTTAGATGAGCCTAGTCCCATGGTGGCTTGTCGGGCGACCAGCCTCTTGTTGGTTTGGGGAAGCCCATTTGGAGTCTCTTTACAGCCATTTGTCCAGCCTTCCAGTTGTCCAGTTTGGGTTGGGGTGTGTGTTGATTATCGACATTGCTTATCTACTGCCTTTGGCTGTAGTATCTAAGAGGTAAACCTCACCTCTTGAAAATCATTCTAGGGGGGCAAGTTGGACCCAATTTAACAATATCAATCCTGATAATAATGTGGCTTTAGGCCCCATCTGTTGTGTTCATTGATGAGCTGGATGCCGTAGGAAGGGCGCGTGGCTTGATCAAAGGTTCCGGAGGGCAAGAACGTGATGCGACCTTGAATCAGGTATTGGGCGCTTCTTAAACTTGTTTTTTTCCGTCGTTGATTGGAATGTGCTGCCCACATTAGTTACCAATTGTTAAAATTTTGTTACAGCTTCTTGTGTGCTTGGATGGTTTCGAAGGCAAGGGAGAAGTTATTACTATTGCATCTACAAATAGACCTGACATTCTAGATCCTGCGCTGGTTCGACCAGGACGGTTCGATCGGAAAATTCATATTCCTATACCTGGTTTTATCGGTCGCATTGAGATTTTAAAGGTGTGACATTTTTACTTGTAATTGGTATCTGTTATTATGTATATATTTAGCTGTAACTTCTGAGCTTTCTTTTCATTGTACTTCCATTTGTATACATAGATATTTGTATACATATATATAACTCTCCTTATACTAGGTACATGCTCGAAAGAAACCAATTGATCCAGATGTGGACTATATGGCTGTTGCCAGTGTGACAGATGGAATGGTTGGTGCAGAGTTGGCCAACATTATTGAGGTTGCTGCTATCAATATGATGAGGGATGGAAGAACTGAGGTATTTTTTCTTTTGTTGGATGTATGGGTGAAATTATGTGGGGAGGTTTATTGTTTCTTTATGGATATCATCCTATGCACATTTACTTCAGTGGATGCCGTGTAATTAATCTATAGATCTCTTTATGTGGAGTTTATATGATCTGCTTTCAGGCTTTGTTTCAATTTGGGGTTTTGGAGGGGAGGGGTGAAGTCTATTTTACTATTTCATTGATACTACCTCGTTCAAAAAAGGTTTGCCATATTGATTTTTTGGGCAATGATGACAAACTTTGGACAATGACTTTAATTGTTATATTTGTATATAATTTATAACTTTTTAACTTCTATGAAAATATTTGGAGAAGGAACATTTTGATATAATCTTCATATTCAAAATAATTTTGTATTAAAAAATGTCATTGGTCAAAGTTGATTGCCGTTGACCAACAAAAGTCAATTTGGCGAACCTTTTCGGGTTAGATGGAGTATGTGTTAGTGATTGTTGGAGAATACGTATTTTCTTGATTAAATCATGAACTTCGTTTTTATTATAATTTGTCACTATCACTACCCCTTCAACCAACTTGTAATACGGAGTAGTAAATTATTAAAAACAAATACGAGTATATGACCCCTCACCTTCAATCCCCTCAAACATTTTTTGCTGTTTCGAGTGCTTTACATCTATTAACCCTGTCATTTTCTATTTTTAGATTACAACAGACGATTTGTTACAAGCTGCACAAATGGAAGAACTGGGCATGCTGGACAGGAAGGAGAGGAGTCTTGAAATGTGGAAGCAAGTAGCGGTGAATCAAGCAGCTGTGGCTGTTGCTGCTGTGAATTTTCCTGATCTCAAGAGTGTTGAGTTTGTAATGCTCTCTGCTTTAACTTGCTTGCTTCATTCAATGAGTGTTTTCTATTGCTTAAAAAAGGACTTTTGTACCTTATTTTTGCATTAAAAAACAGCTAAAAGTACTGTTTTCAAATATGTGCTTTTGCCTATAATAAGCACTTTAAGGCTAAAAGCTCTAATGGGCATAAGTGCTTTAAACTACTTTTCACCATTTCTGTTAAATTTTTTTCACCAGTTTAACTTTTACTTTTCAAAAACCACTTTTCGTTTTAAACACCACCAACTTTTACTCTTTTGCACTCTTCATATAATACCTAAATTAAATCACTTCTCACAAGTAGAAGCAAACATAGACACTCCCTAAGTAGTTCATGTTGCTTTCTACTAATTTCACATATGCCACCTCTGTTAAAATTCAGATTTATTGCTAAAAATTAGGAAGACCTACTTGTTAATGAGTAGGTATGTTTGGGATCCAATTCGCAAAATTAAAGATGGGAACTAAAACTCCACAATAATAACACTTGGGGACGAAAATTGCAACCAGGCCTTTCGATCAAATTACTTGGGCTTATATATTTTACTATCCCGGCAAGTAGTGTGTTTCTTTGTTTTAATTCCTTGTTCCTGTTATTCCATCTTCATAATTATGCCGTTTTATTTTGTCACTCTTCGTCGACCTTTGCTAAAAAATTGAAGTTGCTCATAAAACTCTAATATGGCCTTTTCATATCAGCTTCTGTGTCTCATCTACAAGTACTAGAGTTGGGGAGTACGAAACTCACCAATCACCATTTCACCTTCAATCATTCCCACTTTCGGTTAATGCCTTTATGTGGCTTGCTGGAAATATAATATTTATATTTTTTTTGAAGGATTTCGCAAAGTAAAACTGGAGTTCTGTGAGAGACGAAGAGGGACAAAAAACAACACAAATTACATGAATAACACAAAGTCGTTTACCAACCTAAAACAACAAATGCTCTATTTGCGGGAGTGAAAAAGTAATTACGCCAATTGTCTTCCATTTAGCTTAGTATCAATATCATAGATTCATAGCTACCCTAAGGTGTGTTTGTCTATGTTCACTAACGCTAATGATGCATTAATTACTTGGCTCGAGAAGATCACCATCACCCCACGAGCTGGCACAGAGCTAGGCTATGTACGTATCAAAATGGATGATGTCAAATTTAAGAATAGAATGCTGAGGTAGGTATATGTTACATTTCTGAATTTGTCCGTTTGATTTATTACTTCTTGTTTTTCAACATGCTTCTCCAAAACCATTCAGTTTTTTCTCATAAATGTTATTATGCAGCCGACAATCCCTCATAGATAAAATAACGGTTGACCTAGCACCACGTGCAGCTGATGAGCTCTGGTATGGAGAAGGCCAAGTAAGAATATCTAACATCCATCTTCGAGTCATAGTAATTAAAAGTTTATGATGCGAAATATATTGCAGGACTCATATAACTTCGCTCTTTTGGAGTCTTATGAAATGTTTTAAATGATCGAGAAAATATACGTCTCATGCTTCATGTGGTTTTTTTATCTAATATGTTTGGATATTGCAGCTCAGTACCATATGGGCCAAGAATGCGGACAATGCACGGTCTGCTGCAAGGACTTTTGTTCTAAGTGGTCTTTCCGATAAAGATTATGGGTTGTCCAACTTCTGGGTCTCAGAGAAAATAAATGTACGCAACTCTCTCTTTCTCTGTCTAAATAATAAATTAGAAGTACTGTATAAAACATCTTTTTCCTTTTTGAATTAAACGAAACATTTAACTCTCATCAAATGATTTTCAACCAAAGCTGTCTGTGAATAGTGTGGCTATAAGTGTCAGTGCGAGTCAATCAGATGCAGCAACATCATCATCATTTGGAGATAATTTGGATGGGAGAAAAAGTTTGACAATATGTCAATACTCTTGAGGAAAAAGAAGCTACATATTTGCGTTTTTATTTATCAACATAAAAAACTTACCGATTTCTCAATGTACGTAATATATATGCTAAACAGGGTACATGTTACGTCATCCCATATTGAACAACTATACAATACGGATCATATAAACAAACATATAAAACATTTGACTACTCCTATCAATTTGATCTTTTTATTAATTTTTGGACAGACATCAAGTCTTAATTGATATGTGAGCGGTTAAGTTATTACTTTAAACAAATATTAATTTATCAAACATTTGACCTCAAGTCTTTATATTTGCGAGTGTATAGTTAAGTCATCACATTAAACTACAACTTCCATTTATTTATTCCTAAAAAATATTTGGGGTCGGCTAACATGAATGGATCCATGATATCGGAGTCAAAAAGAGAAGAAAGATAAGAGGAATAAAAAGATGAAGTAAGATAAAATGGATAAGATAAAGATAAATAAGAGCATACTCTATTATAAGATCAACTCCAAAAATACAGATAAATATGATCATACTCTAAAAATAATGCACTTTATTCTTGTTGAACACAATATCAAAGTATGACCTCCATCTCTCTTTTATATGTTCATCGTCTATTAGTAGTTAGTATCATTTATCGACATTCTTCATACACTCAACTTTGCCGATATCTTGAGTCCTATAAATATCTTTTTCTCCTACCTTAGAGTCAAATTTTATACACAATTCCTTATTCACTTTTACTCTTGCTTCCATTACGGCTTTCTTTAAACAAATATAAAAATTTAAATCAACGGATAAGACCTTGCTATAATCTTATCATGCTGTCATTTTAGCGCTGTCATTTTAGCATGAAACCTCGGACCTCATGGTTAAAGTGTTATTAAAAGGGGTCATTTTGATTACAGGGAATTGATGAAGAGGCATTACGGATCCTTAGCATGTGCTATGATCGAGCAAAAAAGGTATCAACATCATGAATTATAATATCATATACAGTATCTGATTTGAAATGGGAGAGCGTTTAACTAAAACTAGAAAACCTCATTTGTCATACAGATACTTCGGCGAAACTGGAAACTTATGGATGTTGTTGTGGATGAACTCGTTCAGAAGAAAAGTCTAACTAAGAAAGAGTTCTTGGAGTTGGTGGAGATGCATGGATCTCTCGAACCATCTCCTCCCACCATTGTTGATTTAAGGTTAGCAAAGAGGTCAAAGATCCATCCTCCATTATTAACCTAATCCCAGATCAAGACGAACTGGAAATCATGAAGTTTCATTTGTGCATAGAAAGGTGCAGGCCCCTGATTCTACTTTGCAGAAATGGTGTTTAAGAGCTAATTTCAATCAATAATCTGCAGGCCTACTGCCTTTTGTTTTTAGTGAAGTCTTTTTACATTATTACATCAAGTATCTCGTCAAGATACTCGATGTTCCTAAACTGTGGTTTATTGAGTTATTGGTGTATAGTTTTTGTGGTTCAGAACAGTTGTTCTATTCAATCTCGGTTAGCAAAAGTGCTGGAGTAATAATTCACGATAATGACTTGCACCTCAAATAAATGGAACGCCACTTTCAGTCGACCAGTTTTATTGCCAATAATTTTTGTTTGAAAAGTATATATTTTATAAATAATGTTGTGAGAAGCTATTGACACCAGACGTGTAGCGAATGTGGGCCTACCGTTTAAGCGAGGGCTAATCACAGTTCGGTGAAGTCTAAACAAGATTAATGCATTCATTTCATTTCAAATTTCAATGCGCTTTTTAATATAAATTTATTATTAATTCATATAAACACGCCATATATTTTCAGATATTTGCGTTTTACTAATGGGAAACGTGACTTGAATAAACCGGCTTTCGAAGAGCGTGCCAATCATCAAATTAGGCTTGGATTCGGGTCGGGCCACCTGGCCCGTGGACCGGCCCGGCCCGCTACTGTGCGGGACCGGGACCGGCCCGGTTCTCGGGTCCGGGTCCGGGTCGGGCCTAGGCCCGGGGGGTAGGGCGGGTCCGGGCTCGGGTCTCAATTTTGGTGAACCGACCCGGGCCAAATTGATTTTTTTTTATTTTTTTTTTCATTTTTGGGGTTCCACCCGGGTTGGGCTTGATGGGTAGGATGGGTTTGGGGGTGTTTGGGAGGGTGGGGGTGGGGGGGGGGGGGTTAGGAAAGCAAAAAAAAAAAAAAATCCAAACCGGAGGCCCGGCCCGGACCCGGTGGCTACCCGGGCCGGTCCCGGGTCCACCATTCTTGAACCGTCGGCCCGCTCGGGCCTAGGCCCGACCTGGACCCGAGTCCACCCCTACATCAAATTATGCGATTTGCAATTTTGCATGGGCAACTCATTTGGTCACATGAGTGAAATCTAAGCAATGATTCAAGGTCGAATTTCGTACCCTTCAAAGTGAAGGACTCCTTATGCACAATAGACACTAAGTGAAGCAATTCTGACATGCTCTGTCGGGCGGGAACGTGGAATCCCGAAAATTCAACCGTTTGGAGCAATGTGAATAATATGATCAATATGTTAAAACGTGATGTGTGGAAAATGAATGCGTACTTGTCTGCTACACTGATCATTTTGAAAGAAAGGGAGGAGGGACGAATTCTTGCATAAAAAACAACCCAAAAGAATTACTCCCTCCGTCCCTAATCTTTCTCCCTTTTCGGCTGGGCACATTTATTAAGATAGTGAGATTTGTGTGGTGGAGAATTGTGCAGAGGAGAGAGAAATGTGTAAGAATGTGTAAGAATGGTTGTGAACCACAAATTTTTTGCTAAAAAGGAGAAGAGATAATTTTGGGACGAACGAAAAAGGAAAGTTTGAAGATAATTTAGGGACGGAGAGTAATTAATACTGTAGATATGAAAGGGAATTTGCAGCAAAAGAAGTATATTCCACGTACAGCCTTCTATCATCATACGTACTGTAGTACAGTACTGTAGTGAGACAATATATTAACGTCACCAACCTTCCCTCCCTCAATAATAATGAAGCAAGCAAAGCTAGTGATATAGAAACCTAACATGTGTACTGTTGCCATATGAGAAGGTTGCTCGTCCATCTGCTCTCATTCAATTTGCCATTAAACCTCATGTCTCTTCTGATTTGCCTATGTGATGCACATACATTCTCCTAAGACCTTCCTAGGAATGTAGATTGTAGTTTGTATGGATTCTAGTGTATTTTTTTAGTCTGTATTTTTTTATAAAAAATTCATATATTTTTAAACTCACAAGATTTTTATGAACGAATTTGGCTGATCTGAAAGAGATTATGAATTTTATATGAATGATATCTATCAATTTTATGAAAAACACAAGTTTAAACAAGAACTATGTCAAATAACATCCATAGGTCTGACATCGTAGGAGATGAACTACATGATTGTACAAAATGATACTTGCCTTATAGTTAGAAATATAAACACTTATCTAGATTAAACTCCACTAACCATATACTTTTCGATTCCCCTCTTTAATTATCTATCATTTCACATTTTACTTTTGTAAACCTATCTTGCTCTTTCTTACATTTTGAAGATTAGAATTGTAAAACAATCACTTTATCTTTTATTTTCTTAGCAGCAAATCCGCATATATATTACGATATGGGACATGGTAGAGAGAAAAAATTACAAAATAAATGAAACAAATGAAATTTATTTAGTACTGTGGAGTTCTACAAAAATATACCAGGTCTATATATACATCGATTGGGCGGAAGTAGCAAATTTTAACTTATAAAAACTTGTCATAAACAATAAAATATATCACGTCTAAGCATCTAGATTTATTTTTATTAAATAAAAAACTCAAATTTTAGAGATTGTTTCGCAAACTCGGTGCCGTTATGATCAATTGTTATATTACACAAGTCAATGAGTAAGAATAATAATCGTTACACAACTGCTACATCATTGCTACATATTGTATGAGCATAAATGCAAAAAAGTTTTTCTTCTTAATAATTGTTTACTTTTCATTTTTAGCTTGTTAAAATTGTTTACTTATTTACAATGAAATATGTATTAGTTTGATATTATATTTTTATGTGTTAGCGGTTTAATAATGAAACACACTAATGGTTAAATATATTTTATTTCTTAACGGTTAACTAGTAAGTGATAAAATACAAGAACTTCACCGATATGATATTATCAATTCTTATATTGGGATTTCAGAAAAATCTAAAATCGAACCAATATTTGATAAACGGTTCTTCAAAATGTTCATAATTTTCTTTCAAAGAATCGAACCGATTTCACCCCTACCTTTTTCTTCGTAAGATGATAAATAAAAATCAGTTTTTAATTTCTATTTGAGTTTGTTCTGTGTAACAATATTGATGTAGAATCTGCTTGTTTGGATTTTATTTATCGTAATATGATAAAAAAAATACGATTTTAAATTGCAAACCTTGCATATCAAGACCATTATGGTACCCATCTCCTTACCCAGTACTAGTGCAGGACCGGTTGACCGTTTCGTGATCTCTCGTAAATAATTAGCCAATTTTGATTGATCTGATTGTTGATACGAGTCCACACATTCCTATGATGAGTAGAAGACGAAAGAAAAAGTTAACGAAAATCTTTTAGGAGGAGAAAAGACACTTGTAGAGAAGTAATGTACTAAAAAAGAATTCAAAGTCAACAATAACTTTGGTTTTAATAGTCCACTGTTCATAAGAATGAATGAAAATTTGATTACACAAACTTTTACAAGTCCACGTTGAATAGACTTAATCTTTTAAAATTATGAAGTTTTGAAACTTTGTCATTAGTTCCCTATAAAATACACCTTCTCGATTCACCCTTTTGACCCTTACTAGTTTATAAGAAATTAAAATGTGCATTACTCACATTTATTCAAATTTTTAACATTTGATATCGATTCATATCAACCGACTTCAACATTTTTTAGATTGACCGTACAATCTTAGGATGTCTTATGACTTGACCAAAATTACATGGTATGGTCTGAATTGAAATAGATTGAATCTAAACGAGAATATTCTTATTTTAACTTAAATGCTAAAGGAGTATGAGAATGGTAATATAATGAGAACATGTAACGAATCCATAATATTTTGATGATTTGCAAAATTGATTTTCTTGGTCAAACAATTTCATTTTATTCACTTAATCAGAATGTTTTTTTAATTAGATTCCAATTTGGAATTTGCAACCTTTTTTTATAGTCCTGAAAGGTAAACCACTGAAACCGGTGAAGCAAATGTCAAGTTACACATACCAAATTTATTAAGAAAAGAAGCTATAGAAAACAAAGAGCTAAAGGTAAAAATTACAACTATAGAAAAAAGATAAAAGATAATAAGCTAAGGAAAGCAAACTAAGCTAAAGATTAAGCTTTCGAGCGTGATTGTGATCTAGTTTGCATAGATGAAGCCTGAATAGCTAATTTTTTCTTATTACGCCGGGAAATAACTGAAGTGAAAGAGCCATCTTCAGTGACCTCAATTAAATCATTCTGTTCAACCAAAGTCGGAGAAGTCACTAAAGAAAAAGATGAAGAACCAATGACATCCGACTCTGAAGTCTCGGGTTTCATTATTTTAATGTAGTTTTTGAATATATAAATTTTAATTATTAAAAATTGAATAATTATCAATATAGGGGGTTTAACTATAAAGTTGGTTGACAAAAAATGTTGACTCAATTTGAAACGGAGGGAGTATGAAATAACCGGAAAGAAACCCGAAAATATCATGTCTCCCGTTTTATTTTATCATCTCATTTTATTTTATCATTGGTTTAACTAAATTTATCACATATCACATTCCATAACATTAAGAATTAGGAAGTTGTAAGGAAGATATTTGTGAGTTGAACTAATTACCGCATTAGTGGGGCATCTCTTGAAGAGACCCATTAATGAGATTACTATAATTGCAAAAAATTGATGATTTCATGATCACTTCACCGTCCACGTTTTCCCCTAAAAGGTTCAATCAGTCTTTGGGTGGGAGAATTACTGATAGCAGACACGGTTAGTTAAAGCAGGGCAAAACATCCAATCTGCACTTTCTCAGGCTATGCCTAAACCTTGTTGGAAAATGTCATCATTTTTATGACTAAAGCTTATGGAGCATTTCCACGTGCTTCATAAATGATGCTACCGTTTCTCTTTGTTCCAAAAGGTTTCGTGACCTCCGCCCGGTCGCTGCGGGGATTCGAACCTTGGTCCATTGTTCCAAATCTCCCACCACTCGACCAACTGAGCTATCCGTGCGGGTATGATGCTACCGTTTCTCATCCCGTTGAAAACGGTTCCGGACCTGATACTAGTTAACCCGGCTCCGGTAGAATACTTCAATCCACGCACTTGAATTAGATGAGAATCGAACCGATTCCATCCCTACTTGCATGCCTCTTGAAAAAGTTATGATTCCGACACTACAGATACAGTGGCGGAGTCAGAAAAACGGCTCAGGAGGGTCGAAAATGATGGATTGTTTTTAAACAATGTCCGAGTTGAATATTTCGTATGCAGTTTAGATAAATAGACACTTGTACCAATAAAATATATTGTCTTTGCTCTGTTTCTGAGTCGTGTCACGTAAGTATCGAGTGAATTATACCCTATTTTTAAAATTAAAATTTGGAAAAATAA